ACGGCGACATTTAAAAACCCCCCCCCGCCCTTATAAGCTGCCCCAAACGGAGTCAACTTTATAACAAGCCAATGAGAAGGCCACCAAAAAAGATCATATAAAATAACAATTTTTCTAGGAAGAGTGAAACACCGGTGATGCATTAATGCATACCATCTAGGCTCAAATCACTGACTCACAGTTATCATTGACAATATTATAATGTATCATTTGAATTCAAGTCAAATAACACTTACACACACACATAAAATCAACATAGATGTCAACTTTTGTAGAATTGGAAATATCCATCCACTTTAAGGCTCCATTAAATGCATAAAATCATAGAAAAAAGAGAGTTAATTTTTCTTTCAAGGTCTGCAAGACCCGACTCGAAATGACCTATAAAGTGGGCCGGTTTAGCTTTGACTGGTCAAAACCCGAATAAGTCCAATCACTTCATCAACTTTCTCATTCTAATAAATTATAAAGGAGCTCATAAATGTGCTAAAATGATATGATAATTTGTACTATAGTATTAAGGATCACATAAAAGCGTTTATAACTATTATCGATAAATTGAGGACAATATGACCTAACATAACCTTGCTAGTTCACATGATTATGATAATTCATGATTCATGGCCAATTCATTATGATTCAAGATGAAGTTGCACTGAATTAGTATATGCTCATACATGTTGCTTTTGTTGCCATACAAACAGCTTTCATTGAGTTTTTGTTTTCTATTGAGCTTTATACTCACAATTGTGCATACTTGCATGAGTTCAAATTAAACAAGCATAAACATATTGTTGAGAAGTAACGTTATAGACTTATTAAAATGCAAATATTACATTATATTTTGGTTCTCCTATTATACATATCGATGTAATATAAGATGTGTATCATGAGATCTTGCTAGAATTGTCTATGTGTTGAGATTTAGTTATATAAATTTATATTGAGGATTTAGTGGTTCTACATATTTATTCAAATATGTTGATACATGATGTTAGAATATAGATAATAATATAAATACTCATATTTTTTTTCTTGTATTTAATGTTGATTTGATATTGTTTTTTGTTATGTAATGCGCCTAAGATTTCGTCATCGACACCTTGCATGCTAACATGATTCATCTTTCTCCTCATGTCCTGATCACTGTATATAAGCAAACATCACCCCTCTATGTTTTTCTCCTAAGAGTTGAGAAGAGTTATATATTATAAGCCCATCATGATTTATTTTTGAAATTCGTATTAACAGCTAAATTATTAGCTTCTTATTGAATAATCTTTATTACCCATCATCAAATATGATGTTGCCTGTTCTTCTCTCTTACATTTCAAATTCACAGGCAATGTTCCACTACTCAAATAATTAGACTAAACTCTAACGCCCAAATCTGGCCTCCTTCCTACTAAGAGAATAATTGAATTGACCATTGCCTATCATCTGACTTTGATGTTTCTCAACAACTTTTGTATGATAACTACCCATGACAACCCTCTGATACTTATTAGCCCATGACACATGACATATGTCTTCCCAATCACCTTACATCTCTTTATACAAAGAGAACGACTAAGTTGATCAGTCGTCATTGTTTAAGCTTTTTAATTTTACATTAACCATCACGGAATCAACATCCGACCTGTGTTATCTTGGTTGTCATATCTCATCTCTTATCTATGTTGAATGATTTATAGTTCTTACGTCTCTTTATACAAAGAGAGCGACTAAGTTGATCAGTCGTCATTGTTTAACCTTTTTAATTTCACATTAACCGTCACAGAATCAACATCCGACCTGTGTTATCTTGGTTGTCGTATCTCATCTCTTATCTATGTTGAATGATTTATAGTGCTTCTAATTAAGTACCATTCAACATGATTTTTAGTACTTCCATTTTATTTTTAACTACTTAGAAATTAGCTTAAAAATGCATCCTCCTCAATCCTAATTGTCATATATATAAAGAACAAAAAGGAAAAAATTGGATTAGTGATTAACAAAAAAATTAATTAAATTATTTTATTATTGCTAGTTAATTCAAAATTAATCCAATACATAATTAATCAAATACAATAATTAATTCCCCCAATAAACTTTCCAAATATTTACAACTCGGCTTTGGCCTTTTTCCAAAATCATTCAATGATTTACATACATACCACTCATTCCTATGTATTTACATATATAACACCTAAAATGTAATTTTTACATTAACAACCCCCTAAATTTTCATATCACAAAAAGAAAATACCACCATTGTAACTTCACAAAAAATAAAATACATCCTTTCAAGCATAGAAAAGTGGGCATATATGTAAAAATTAAAGTTTAAGTGCATGCACATAAATTTTACATATCTAACACCTAACTTTAAATTTTACATACTTATCATTTTACCCATGCACAAAAAGTTGAATTTCACTTACTAAAAGTTTAAACTATACTGTTTTTGATGTGATACTAAAAATTCTCATGAAATAAATGCAAAAGATCAAAGTTTAAGTATTGTTTATGTAAATTATAGGAGTTGATTGGTATGTGTGTAAATGCCCCAAAAAGTAATATTTACAAAAAAAAAAACATTTATATTTATACGAATTTCCCCTCGGCGGGTTAGTCATTCGTGGGGTTATCTCAGCGAGGGGTGTAAAAGAGTCGAACACGGGCGAGTCCAGACTCAGCTCGTACTCCGCTCATTTATATTTAGAGCTCAAAAAGTTATGTGTTCTGCTTGTTTGTATAGCGAGCCGAAAACGAGTCATTCACGAATAAAGAGTCATTTTGACAACCCTAATCACTTAGCCATAAGATGTTAAGGATTGAACAAAATTTAAAAATTATTGCTTATGTTAAACATCATTTGTGATCTAATAAATAATTTTAATTATATTTTTTTAATTAATACTTTTAATTAATTATAAATCTTTATAGCCTTATAGTCAATTTATTTTTTTAAAATACTAAGTTTTATATATATATATATATAATTGATTAGTAGTATTTTGAGTCAAAACGAGTCAAACACGAACGACAAATCTTTGTTCGTGTTATTCATGTTCGGCTTGTTAACTTAGCGAACGAGCCGAACACAAGCTTCTTAATGAGTTGAACACCGGAGAACACTTTAATCCGTTGGACCACATTACTTAAAATATAACAAAATAAATATTCTTTTATGGCAAAAATGCACCCCACGGCACCCAAACAACATAATTTGACACGTGTCACGACGCTGATGTGAATTGATGACTTCGGCTGGTCCCACGGAAGTGCCCGCTTACGAACACGGGTACGCATAGAAACATGACGGCGGCTTCGTAAGCTGTGCAACTTAACCGCATAGGCGCTATTCTCTCTTCCCCACCGAAATCTAGGGTTTTCTTCAGCTTTCGTTCCCTTTTAACATTGTTCGCTCTGCATACTCTGTCTCTCTCTCCCCCTCTGCGTCGCCATCTCTACGGGCATCGGATAAATCTGGTCTATTGATGGAGTTACCGGCGTACGAGGGGGGTACGGGGGGTAAGTTTCGGCGGGC